CTTTTTGTTTGTATTTATATCCCCACCTTAGCACAGTGCCTGGTGCCTAGTAAGTGTTTAATAAATGCTTGCTCTTGATTACGTGACTTCTGGTTCATAGGATCATAGATTTAGAGCTGGAAGGGTTCCTTCAAAGTCATCTAGTCCAACCTTCTCATTGTACAAATGGGGAAATTGAGACCCAGAGGGGTTAAGTGTCTTGCCTGAGGTGATAGGTGGTAGGAGGTAGAGTTTGAACCCAGGTTCTTTGACTCAAAAACCAATATTTTTCCCATTATACCACAATGACTTCTTTCTCACTACCAACAGAATCAAGTTCAAGTTTATTCTTAAATTCAAGACCTTCCACAAGCCAAATCCTCATTAATTAAATTTTGCAAATATTTATTTGCAAAGCTACATGTCATTAAAAAAAGTAGTATTTGGTAAAAAAAAAAAAAACAATTGTTGGGAAAACTAAAAAGCAGTCTGGCAGAAATTGGACATATACCAATATCTTACACTACTTACCAAGATAAGGTCAAAATGGATACATGACCTAGAAATAAAGGGAAATATTATTTTAAAAAATTAGAACATGGACCATATTATCTATCAGGCATATGGATAGGAGAAGAATTTGTGAGTAAACAAGAGACAGAGAGCATTGTGAGATGTAAAATGGATAATTTTTATTACATTTAATCAAAAAAGTTTTGTACAAATAAAACCAATGTAGCCAAGATTAGAAAGAAAGCAGAAAATTGAGGGGAAAATTTTTGTAAACAGTTTCTCAGATAAAGGTCACATATCTCAAAAAATATAGAAAACTTGATCAAATTTATAAGAATATCAGTCATTCCCCAATTGATAAGTGGTCAAAGGATATGAACAGTCAGTTTTTCAACAAAGAAATCAGAGCTACATATAGTCATACAAAAAAGGCTCTAAATCATTATTGATTAGAGAAATGCAAATTAAAACAACTTTAAATATCATCTCACACCTATCAGACTGGCTAAAATGATAGAAGGGGAAAATGACAAATGTTGGAGGGGATATGGAAAAATTGGGATACTAATACACTGTTGGTAGAACTGTGAACTAATCCAACCATTTTGGAGAGCAATCTGTATTTACGCCCAAAGAGTTATAAAACTGTGTATACCCCTTGACCCAGAAATACCACTATTGGGTCTGTTTCCCAAGATGATCAGGGAAAAAGGAAAAGAATTTATATGTTCTAAAACATAGCAACTCTCTTTGTGGTGGCAAAGAAATGGAAATTGTGGGGATGTCCGTCAACTGGGGAATAATTGAACAAGTTGTGGTATATGATTGTGATGGAATACTATTGCGCATAAGAAGTGATGAGCTCGATGATCTTAGAAAAACGGGTAGACTTGCACAAAATCATGAAGAGCAAAATGGGCAGAACCAAGAGAATGTTGTAGATGGTAACAGCAACATGGTTTTAAGAACAACTTTGAGCAAAGAAGTCCTTCTGACTATTATAAATACCCAAATTAACTAAAGGACCTATGAATGAAGATGCTACCTGTATCCAGAGAAAGAACTAATAAATAGAAGCGTGTGTAGAATGATTTTACATATATATACATATCCATCTCCTATCCCTCGTTGCAACTTTTCCTTTTAGTCTTCCTTAAAAATGAATGAGAGAAAGACAAAGGAATAAAGAAACACATCGAGATTCTTCATTGATATTTGACTTAATAACCTAAATCTTTGATTCTAAAATTCTGTGAGTATTACAATCACACATACACACACACACACACACACACACACACACACACACACACATATACACTCACACAGCAACAATCTGTAGTACCTGGCTTTAAGTATCACCTTAATGTAGAAATTAAGGTCATTAACACAGAATGAAGTAGGTAGAGGAAGCAGGACTATTTTTGCTTTTCTTTGTATCCCTATCGCTTAGCAAAGTGCCTGGCACATATTAAGCACTTAAAAAAATACTGGTTGCCTGACTCAGATTGCTGAATTTGGAGTCAAAGCAGGTAGGCTCTACTACCTGTGTTATTGTGGGCAAATCAGGAGCCCTCTCTGGGCCTTTTCCTTCCTCTATGGGTTTGTACTAAATGACCTGTATGGTCCTTCCCAGCTCCATATCTATGATGCTATGATTCCAGCGTGTGGCCCACCTAAGGTGAGATAATGTCAATTTGAACTGGAGCCAGTGGTTCTGGATTTATGATTTTCTCCAGGGATAATATAGTATTATAAATCTGGACAAAATAATGTACAAAAGGGACCTCAAAGGCTAACTAGTCCAAAATTCTCATTTCACAGATTAGGGAAGTGAAGTCCAAGATGGCCAAGGGACTGATCTAAGTTTACGCAGTAGCAAGCATCAGAGTAGAAACAGTCACAGAGAAAGTGTGTGGTAGTGTATACCCAGAATTGGTAAGTTGGTTGTATCAAACGGCCAAGGAGCAAAGGACTCCATGAGTATCATTGCAACTTTGGACCATGGGGTCTAAGACACAAATTAAGTCAGAAAGGGATTGAAAGAATGAAGGACTGGAAGAAGAGGAAAGGGTAGAGGACCTAAAAACATCAGTCAATTCATTTCAATTCCCTTCTATTTAATTTGGTTTATTTTAATTCAATTCAGCAAGGATTTCTTAAGTGCAATGTGATATAATACATAGGGAATTGGCTTTGGTGTCTGAGGATCTGGGTTCAAACCTCACCTCTTGTGCTTACTGTAAGTAAGATTTTAGGGGGTTAGGCTTCCACAACTGGATAAGAAATTCCAAGAGCTTGCGGATAGTCCCTCAACCAATCAGAAAGTACTCCAAACTTTTCTATAAACAACTAGTTCTTAAGAAAGAGCCCTAGAGGCTAAACTGGTGGCAACCAGCTGGGTTCAAGGACGAGGCTTCCACCAGGCAAAGGCTTTTCTCCACTGCGCTTGCTTAATAAGCTTATTGAATATAAACTGAAACAAACCCCAAGGGTGGAGATAGCGGCCATTTTTGAGCGTGGGACGCATGAAGTGGGCAGAGTTAATAGAACACGGACGAACCTGCGATGGGCTGCCCAGAAAAGGTGTAACTCAGATGAACTAGATCAATAGGAGACCTGATGGGTGGAGTACGGATCTTACTAATGGTTTAAAAGTTGATTGTACCACTGAACCAGTGCCCACATGCTACTAAAGTGCATTGAGCTCACTTCTCTCAGGAGAAGCATAATAAAGACTTTCCTTCACTCACTCACTGTAGTAGATTTCTGTTTCAGATTTTTCTAACACTTACTACCTGTACAACCTTAGGCAAGTTACTTAATCTTCCTATGCTTCGTTTTCCTCAAATGTAAAATAAGGGGCCTTGCTTAGATGACTTCTGAGGTCCCTTCTGGTCTTCTCTCCATGATCTTATGTGCCATTTATTGTGCTAAATATTGGGGAAACAAAAAAAAAAAGGAAACTGTCTCTGTTCTCAAAGTCTTATATTCTACTGAAGGAGACAATATGTACACAGATAAGTAAATACAAGATCCATACAAAGTACTTTGGGAGGGGGTGGTGTGCTGTCATGACAAATGTAGGGAGTATGAGAAGTATGAACCTAGGATAGGTTGCAAAACTTATCAAAAGAAGAATAATTCTCTCTGCTCTGAATACATGTAGCACACACGTACTGAGTATATCATCTGGCCCATTTTATCAAGCCCTTCTTAGTGATATTTCACATTCCAGCATGCTTATTTTCCATTATCCACCCTGCCTACTGCTATACTCTCCAGATCAGCGGGCCTTGCCATCTGCCCTGCTGCATAATGGCTCCTCCCTAACCTAGCTGAAACCATAATTAAATTAATTGATACTGGAAAGGAAGTGTCAATCAATCAATTAACATTTATTAAGTGACTTTCCAAATCAGAGTATCCTTTCAGGGCCACTCAGCTCTATAAAAGTAACTTCCTTCTATGAGAATGTAAGCTCCTTGGGGGAGGAACTGTCTCCCTGTTTTTGTATCCCTAGAACTTAGCCCACAGTAAGTACTTAATAAATGCATTTTCTTTTATTCCTTCATTCATTCACTCATTCACAGTTGTGACTAGAGAGGAAAATTTCAGAGCTCTACTTCTTGGAGATGGAGTAGTTTTGAGTGATAATAAATGTTTATCATCTATTGAGCGGGCAGCTAAAGCTGGAGATAATGGTCATGGAATATGAGAAGTTTGAGGACAGGGTGTGGGAAATGTCATCAGTCTTGATTCTTAAGTCACTTGCAATTGAGAACTTAAGGCCATTTGAAGGTTTTTGACAATGAATGCAAAAAAAAAGAAGGAAAAGGAATGTTAGTTCAAATCAAATTCCGAGTTGATCTTGAATCTGAGGCAGGAACTATTGTTTTATTTTTATTTTCAAAATTGCTCTTGTATGTCTATTTCCAGTGCTTACCACACAGTAGGTGCCTAATAAATGCCTGTCAAAGGAATGAATTTGTGGCTGCTCTGTATTTCCCAGAAGGCAGGGTGGTGTAATTGGAAATCTACTGGACTGGGAGTGAACATACAAGTCCCTGCTTTGCATGACCTTGGAGAAGTCACCTGAGTTCTCTACGTCTCCGTTTCCCCATCTGGGAGTTGGAGAACATTGTCTCCAAGGTCTTCCACAGCTACTTCTCCATCTTCTACTGCTTGTCAATCACACTTTAACAAGTCTTTAATTTGTAACCCAACCAAAAACGTCTCCCCTTTAGGGGAACTTGGGCAGTGTCCACACTGGCCCCCACCATAAGGATCTACATCCCGTGCATCTTCTCTAAACGCCTAACCCGGCAAGAGCCTGCATCCTTTCCTATCCCCGCCCCCACCCCAGGCCATCTGCTTAAGAAACCACGCCCACTTCCTGGAGCTAAGCGAAGGAAATATGTCCTCCACGAGGAACCGTAGGGCACGGGCGTAGTGCGCAGGCGCGGCTTCCTGGTCTCCGGGAGTGGCGTGTTCCCCTCCCCCAAGCTTGCTGCTTTCCGGCTCGGAGCGACGCCGGTGGTGCCGGAGCCGAGACCTCAGGACCTCCCTCTCCTCCACCTGTGGCGGCGTCGGCGCAGAGCCATGGCCGAGCGCGGGGAGCTCGACTTGACCGGCGCCAAACAAAACACGGGAGTGTGGCTCGTGAAGGTAAAGGCCGAGCGAGCCCTTCCCCCAGCCCCCCAGGGCCCCCCCCCGGGGGTCCCGCGGCCCCTCATCCACGGTCATCCAGCCTTTCTCCCTCAAGCCCCAGGGAGTTAGCCCAGGCGTGGATGGCGAGGCGGTTATTCTAACAGCATTTATTAGACACTTGTTGTGTACCAGCCACCCCGCTGGGCACTTGATGGGGTGGGGGGGGTGGTAGGAGTACGAAGACGGGACATTCTTTCCTGCCCTCACTGTACTTGGGGGAAACATAACAGGTCCCCAGGGAAGTAAGTGCAGATTGCAAGGTAATAAATTTAGAGCTGGAAGTCCGACTCCTTCGTTTTACAGAAGAGGAAATTGAGGCACAGAGCGGTAAAGTGACAGGGCATGGGGGTGGTATCAAACAGACGCCAAGTGTCCGAGGCAGTATTGGAGCCCAGGCTTGTGACTTAAATCCAGTTCCCCAACTAGGACATCGCATCAAGTCGTTCAGGATGAGGAAGGTAGGAGGGTCCGCAGCCTGAGCCCTTAACGGGAGCTCAGGGGACCCCCAGGAGCAGAGGTGAGCAGAAGGCCCAGGGAGCCCCTGGCTCCCCGAGGTAGTGTGGTGGGTGCTTCTGGGCCAGGGCCTCCCAGATTTTCTGGGTTTCCCGGAGTTATCCCCATGTCTACTTAGAGGGTGATCAATAGTAGTATTTATTCTGCATACATCTTTAAAGTGCTAATGAGTGCAGTGTAGGGGTACAGTGTAGATAAGATAATGCTTCTGCTTTCCCGGAGTTTATAGCCTGGTACAGGGACAGATAACTGAGATTCGGGAGCAAAATATTGGTTAAGGATAGAAAGGAAGAAGGTAATTAAACTTCATAGAAAAGTGTATTGGAGAAAGGCAGAACAGAATACTGGTTAACATTAGAGAGGAAAAAGATAATGAATCTTCCTGGAAAGGTTAGTTAAATGTGTTGTAGAGAGGCAGAACAGAATAGTGGTTAAAATTAGAGGTTCAGTTGTTCAGTCTTTTTTCAGTGATGTCCAACTCTTTGTGACCCCGTTTGGCATTTTCTTGGCAAAGAAAATGGAGTGGTTTGCCATTTTCTCCTCCAGCTCATTTTACAGGTGAGGAAACTGAAACAGAGTTAAGTGACATGCCCAGAGTCACACAGCTAGTGTGTGAGGTCACATTTGAACTCAGATCTTCCTGACTTAAGGCCTAGCACTCTATCCACTGCACCACCCAGCTGCCAAAAAGTTAATAGAGAGTTAGAGAGAGGCAGAAGGCAATAGTGGTTAAGCTTTATGGAAAGCTTAGTTAAATGTATTGTTGAGAGGCAGAGGGACAGGTGGTCAGTGGCCAATGAATAGAGCATTGGGCTTGGACTCAGAAGGACTGGAGTTCAAATTCTGCCTCAGATACTTACTAGCTATATTTGACCCTGGGCAGTCACTCAACCTTGTTTGCCTCAGTTTCCTCATCTATAAAATGAGTTGGAGAAGGAAATGCAAACCACTCCAGTATCTTTGCCAAGAAAACCTCAAATGGAGTCACAGAGAGTTGGATGCAACTGAAATGACTGAACAAAAAAAGAGAAGAACAAAATACTGATTAAGGATAGAAGGGAAGAAGGTAATTAAGCTTCCTGGAAAGATTAGTTAAGCATATTGTAGAGAGGCAGAACAGAATAGTGGTTCATGTTGGAGGGGAAGAAGGTAAACATTGATCAGGGTAAGTTTCATGGAAGAGGTGATATTGGAGTTGAGCTTTAGAGAGGGAGGGACAGTATTTCAGGCTTAGGTAAGGTGGTGGGAGAGCCATTACTTTGGGTGGGTAAGCAGATTTTGATAGATGTGATCGTGGAAGGGTAATCCCTAGCAGCTGATTTTCCCCACCAGACTTCATAGGAGATACTTCCTAATCCATAAAGTCTATATCGGAGGCACACTTTGAACACTCTTAAGTTAAAGCCACTTACTTCTCGGCCTCTTTCAGCAGAATGTCATTCTTCCTGTCACATTTCAAATGGACCCTGGGAATGGTCTGGTGACATAAGAGTCCATTGGCCAAAGGAGGAGCTGTGTATTTATTAATTTGTTCATATTGTATTCCACTTGCAGTAATTAGCTTTTTGTGAATTTAATCAAATTCTCAATAATGGCATGTTCTCAAAATCTGCTCTAATTCATCTTGCCAGATCTAGTCATGTTTAAAGACAACTTCATAAAGCTATTGAATCAAATCTGAAATAATTATTGAATACCTGATACGCAAAGCACTGTGAACGATTCAAAGAAGCTACGTTCCCTGTCAATAACAAGCTTGTGGTATGGTTGGGGAGGCAAGTCAAAACGTGAAAAACTGAATAAAATTAAATAGCAATAAAGACAATAATATAAGAGCTTGGTTGCCAGGTAAAGATAATAATTTACATAGTACTTTAAAGTTCAAAAAGCCCTTTCCCCACTACAACCTGTTTAAGTAGGTAGTGGAAGTCTCATTGTTCCCTTTTTACAGATGAGGAAACTAAGGCCCAGAGAGGTTAAGTGATTTACTTGAGGGCTACACAACTGGTCTGTGTAAGAGTACAGAGGTGAACCCAGGGCTCCTAAATCCAAGTCATTTCATTTATGAGTCATTCAGCCAACAAGCATTTATTAAGCACCTACTATGTAGCAGGCCTACTACTTGCAAGGTACTAGGTCTGCTAAGAAACTCCTATCTTCAAGGAGCCAGTATCTATTGAAGGAGGTAACATATGCACAAGTAAATATATACAGAATAAATGAGGGTTTGGAGGTTTGTTTTGCTTTGGTTTTGGTCAGGGAGACAGCAGCAGTTGAGGTGGTGGAGCTTGAGATGAGCTTCTCAGAAAGCTAATAGGGATTCTCAGAGGTGGGAAAGAGAAAGGAGAGCAGCTTGTGCAAAGGTGGGGAGACTGGACTGGAGTATCCTGTGTGAGGCACAACCAGAGACCAAAGAGTTCGTGAAGGAGGGATGTTGTAAACTTGGATAGGCAAGCTGGAGCCTGGTGGTGAAGAGCTTTCGGTGACAAATGAACTTTGCATTTGTGCTTGATTCCCAAGGGACAGTGTGGTACAGTAAAAGGAGTATTGGATTTAGATTTGTAACCAGATCAGTGATTTAATACTGGTGTGATCTTGGCCAAGAGTTTGAACTTTTCTGACCCTCAGTTCCTCATCTGTAAAATGGGAACATTGGAGCAGATGGCTTCTTCCTTTTTTTTTTAATCTACCGTAAAGTTCACAATTGTCTGATTTTTCTTATTTAATTTTTTTATTATGAACTTGTTACAGCCATCAACAAATGTAATTTCTATAGTCAAAGAATAGAAAAAGGGAATTATATATAGCTTGGTTTTTTCCTAAGCATACAGTGCGTTTAACACGGTGCCCTTCTGTTTGTGTCTCTGAATCTTCCTTTGCTCTCTTGATATTTTATGTCTCATTAATGCTTTTTTTCTTGGAGAACACTATTGTCTCTTGTTCCCAAAGCCAGGACGTGGGACCTTATTGAAGTAGCCCAAGTAAGAAGTGATAAGTTCATTCATTATCTAGGGCAAGACTTCTCAACTTTTTTGGATCATAGGATCCCTTCCACCCTCCCCACTCTGGCAGTCTGGTTTTCAGAATAATGTTTTTCAATATGTAAAATAAACTACGTAGGACTGCAAATGGTCAATTATATTGAAATATAATTATTACAATATTAACAAAAGAAGTTCATAAGAACCTCTGATTTTGGGCAATAGTGCCTTGAGTTTAGCGGAAGGAGAGAGAATGTGATAGAGCAGGAGGTTTGTGATTTGACTGTTTCAATACGTGTCAAACTTCAGTCTCGTCTATAAACTTTATTTCTCATCTATGCATTTTCTTTTTCAGCCTTACTAATTTACACTCAGATGCTGATTTCTGGGTGTCCTCAATTTGTGAATGCTTAGTTTAACTCTGTGATCCCTTTTCAGATTTTGCATTGGTATGGATCCCTTTTGACCCAACTGAGATGTAGATGAATTTTCATAGGTTAAAATGAGCATGGTTTTAGATTGAAAGGTAATAAATGCCAATAATAAAACATGTCTGTGTGTCTATTATGTTTCCTTAAGTTAGAGCTTTTTTAAACTGGTTTACAGACCTCAGGGCCTATTGATGAATTTCGGGGAGCTCATGAAGTTGTTTTTTTTTACTTAATTTTTAAGTTCCAAATTTTTTCCCTTTCCCTACCTCCTCCCCCACCTACTAAGAAGGCAAAAAATACAATACCCATTACACATAGAAAGTCATGCAAAATATATTTCTACATTAGCCATGTTGTGAAAAAAGAGAAGCAGGAAAAATAAAGAGAAAAAATGTTTCACTATGCACTCATTTCATCAGTTCTCTCTCAAGGTAGATAGCATTTTTCATCATGAATCCTTTGGAATTGTTGTGCATCGTTGTATTGATCAAAGTTGCTAAGTCTTGGGGCAGCTAGCTGGCGCAGTGGATAGAGCACTGGCCCGGAGTCAGGAGGACCTGAGTTCAAATGCGACCTCAGACCGCACACCTGACACTTACTAGCTGTGTTACCCTGGGCAAGTCACTTAGCCCCAACTGCCTAAAAAAAAAGGTTGCTAAGTCTTTCACAGTTAAATATAATTACAGTGTTGCTGTTACTGTATACCTTGTTTTCCTGGTTCTGCTTATTTCACTTCAATTCATACAAGTCTTCCCAGGTTTTTCTGAAATCATCCTCTTTAACGTTTCTTACGTCATAATCATATACCACAACTTGTTCAGCCATTTCCCAATTGATGGGCATCCCCTCAATTTCCAATTCTTTGCCACCATAGGAAGAGCTGCTGTAAATATTTTTGTACATATGGATCTTTTTCCTCTTTCTTTTATCTCTTTGGGTATAGACTTAGTGCCAGTATTGCCAGGTCAAAGAGTATGCACAGTTTGATAGCCTTTGGACTTAGTTCCAGATTGTTCTCCAGAATGGTTGGACC